CCGGAACATCCCATCTGTCAACAACATGAGTTCATCGTAGCTCCCAGCCTCCACGATACAGCCGTCGTTTATCACAGCTATCTGATTGGCTGTTTTGATTGTAGAGAGTCTGTGGGCTATTGTGATAACTGTCCGGCCTACCATCAGCCTGTCCAAGGCTTCCTGAACAAGATACTCGCTCTCTGCATCCAGGGCACTGCAAATAAAGGAACACAGTAACAGTTACACTGGTAATACACTCACGTTACACTGGTAATACACTCACGTTACACTGGTAATACACTCACGTTACACTAGTAATACACTCACGTTACACTGGTAATACACTCACGTTACACTGGTAATACACTCACATTACACTAGTAATACACTCACATTACACTAGTAATACACTCACGTTACACTAGTAATACACTCACGTTACACTGGTAATACACTCACGTTACACTAGTAATACACTCACGTTACACTGGTAATACACTCACGTTACACTAGTAATACACTCACGTTACACTGATAATACACTCACGTTACACTGGTAATACACTCACGTTACACTAGTAATACACTCACGTTATACTGGTAATACACTCACGTTACACTAGTAATACACTCACGTTACACTGGTAATACACTCACGTTACACTAGTAATACACTCACGTTACACTGGTAATACACTCACGTTACACTGGTAATACACTCACGTTACATTGGTATTACACTCACGTTACACTAGTAATACACTCACGTTACACTGGTAATACACTCACGTTACACTGGTAATACACTCACGTTACACTAGTAATACACTCACGTTACACTGGTAATACACTCACGTTACACTGGTAATACACTCACGTTACACTAGTAATACACTCATGTTACACTGGTAATACACTCACGTTACACTAGTAATACACTCACGTTACACTAGTAATACACTCACGTTACACTGGTAATACACTCACGTTACACTGGTAATACACTCACGTTACACTAGTAATACACTCACGTTACACTGGTAATACACTCATGTTACACTAGTAATACACTCACGTTACACTAGTAATACACTCACGTTACACTGGTAATACACTCACGTTACACTAGTAATACACTCACGTTACACTGGTAATACACTCACGTTACACTGGTAATACACTCATGTTACACTAGTAATACACTCACGTTACACTAGTAATACACTCACGTTACACTAGAAATACACTCACGTTACACTGGTAATACACTCACGTTACACTAGTAATACACTCACGTTACACTGGTAATACACTCATGTTACACTGGTAATACACTCACGTTACACTGGTTATACACTTAGTTATACTGGTAATACACTCACGTTACACTAGTAATACACTCACGTTACACTAGTAATACACTCACGTTACACTGGTAATACACTCACGTTACACTAGTAATACACTCACGTTACACTGGTAATACACTCACGTTACACTGGTAATACACTCACATTACACTAGTAATACACTCACGTTACACTGGTAATACACTCACGTTACACTAGTAATACACTAGTATGTTGTTTAACGCCGCACTCAGCAATAGTCTAGCTAGATTATGTGGTCTGTAAAAAATCGAGTCTGGACCAGACAATCCAGTGATTGATATTATGATCATCAATCCATGCAATTGGGATACGATGACAGGCATCAACCAAGTCAGGGGGCGGGGAGAAAACTTGCATGTAAATTGTTGACATACTAACCTCGTCGCCTCATCCAGGAGCAGAATCTTGGGATCCTGAAAGCATGGGGAAACATAATTACCGGGTACCGGGCTGATCATATATTTCCTTGTACACAACATAAATGTCGTACACCACCGTCAGCAGTATTGCAGCTATATTATATTATCCTGTACAGTATCTTACCATGAAGTGGTTGATAGTGTGAGCAACATCCCATGTCGTCCATCAACCCAGTCACCGAGTCTGACCACCCAATCCGATATAGCGGCCTCTTCATGACAAGCAGTAGACTTGACCTATTCCTACCTGGGTCCCCACGGGGTCCCAGTCCATGAAGTAATGGTTAGGCCAAATATTCAAATGAATCAGATGCAACAACGGTGATCTTTTAATTCAGACATTAATATATATACTACTCAAAAGAAATCAAAGCACATTTGACTTTTTCATATGACAGATTAACTGCATAGTCATGTGAAAAAATCAAGTACTCTTTAACTTTTATGAGTAGTATATATAACTGTTTGACAAAATATATTTATTACCTTCAAGATCGCCCTGGCTATAGCAACTCTCTGCCTCTGACCACCTGAAGGCAAAGACCAAAAGAAATGTTGAACTGTTGAAATGTAGACTGTCACTGATTCCACACTAAAGCGCACTCTTTGATACTACTCAAAGATTGCGAGGGTTCTGTCAGACGATGAATTGGTACTAATCCCCTTTTCTAGGGTTCAGCCAATTACAATCCAGGCTATCTGGCTACAGTGAGACACATCAACTAGGTTAGACATTGTACCCACCCAATCCCCATTAATCAGGGGGGCCGGGATGTAACAAGACCAGAGTCAGTAAAGGGCAGAGTGAATTATGAATAGTATTGACGCTTTGTTATGACAGCTCACTTTGGAAAGGGTAGCCTGGTGTGTCACAGACCTGTACAACAGACATGGAACCCATGAACAGACAGACAGACCGACAGAGAGACAGACAGACAGAGGCAGACAGGCAGGCAGGCAGGCAGACAGACAGACAGACAGACAGACAGTCAGAGGCAGGCAGGCAGACAGACAGACAGAGAGACAGACAGACAGGCAGACAGACAGACAGAGGCAGACAGGCAGGCAGGCAGACAGACAGACAGACAGACAGAGAGACAGACAGACAGGCAGACAGACAGACAGACAGAGAGGCAGACAGACAGACAGGATTAGAACCTGGCAAATCTGCAACATGAAACCACAACTAAGGGGCATAACTCTTCCCGTGAGACCCATCAACTTCGGCCACTGGGCCACCCGTGTGAAGCTGTGACCGCTGAGTGACACTATTTCCCTGGTTACTTGAAGGTGGCCTGTTGTGAGTGTGGGTCGGAAAGAGGACACAATACTGTTTCAGTATCGTCTGTCACCGCAGCTTTCATCCTAGTGATACTTGATCAGTCTACTACCCTACTATACTTGAGTCCCGTTCGGGATTCAAACCCACACTTCCAGAGTGAGGCACCTAATTACCAGCTCACAAAGTCAGTCATCTAACCCACTCAGCCATCAAGGCTTCCACAAAATGAAAGTCCGACAACTGGTAGTTTGTGTAAATTGGCACGGCTCCCATGGCCCAAATTTAACATTTGTTACAGCTGACTACCAGGTACTTCCACCAGTGCAGTGTCACGCTTGACCTGATACACACGGTGTGTGTGCGGACGTACCTGACAACATATGTCCTCTCTCCCCGACAAGAGTCTGGAAGCCCTCTGGGAATGACTGGATAAAGTTGTAAGCGTTTGCTTGTTTGGCTGCCGTAATAATCTGGTCGTCCGTCACAGCGGTGGGGTTGCTGGCACTGTAGCCGATGTTTTCAGCGATGGAGCAGGAAAACAACACAGGCTCCTGGGAATCACAGCACAAGATGGCATATATTTTAGACTTAAAAAACCCCTTAATATTTCAAATCTTGTCAAAGACTGGATGCAAATTTTCAATACACTTGATTCAGTGATTTCTGAGAGGATAACCTGTGATGTAACAGTAACAGTGTTTCAACTTCAAGGACTACAGAATAAACAATAAATTTCAACAGCTTTAGAAGCTGTTACTAACAGCTCGAAAGCATTATAGTGCAATATAAGATAGCTACGCGATAGATTGCAAAGAACAATGATTTGAACATGCACACGCAAATTGCTGACGTCGTAAATTGGACAACATTATTTTTGAGAGGGAAGTGTCTAGTGAGTTGTTCCCCTTAGATGAAGCTGGGCAATGCTGATTAACGTATGGCCAAACGATCGCATCAAAATGTGGGAGAGACATGACAATCAGTATATAGGAGAAAAGGTACAGATAATCGATAAAATTGGAGAATATCCAGGAAATACTAAACATAACCTTCATAAACTTGTCCCACATTGCCAAGGTCGGATTGTAATCGTCATATTAAATACAGGTAAATTTTCTTAAGGCTTGTACATTTTATTAACATCCTTAAAGACACAATACAAAATGTTGGTATCTCATATAAGAATTTGTACAATAAACAACTCAGTCTCGTCGTTTATTTCTTAAATAATGTGGAAGTCTAGCATGCACATCAATCTGATGGACAGGTGACTGAAAAGAGAAAGTACCAACACAACAAAACACAAGTGATGCTACATGGCAGATAAACAGGTAGCACGTCTCTTACCTGGCTGACAGTTCCGATCTGATTCCTGAGCCAGGTGGGGTTCAACTCTCGGATATCTTGGCCGTCCAGCTGGACGCTTCCTACACAAACAGTCACACGTCATCAGCAGTGTTCTACTTTACCACCAACTGAGGAACTACAATTGCCGTAGGTCTATGTTAAAGTATTGCAGTTACAACCGTCTTAGTGCTGCCATTGTCGTAAGTCTATGTTAAAGTATGGCAGTTATGATTATCTTAGTGCTACGATATTTGTAAGTCAATCTTCAAGTATTGGATTTATGATCACCTTCCATTGTCGAAAGTCTTTGCTAAGGTATGAGAGTTAAGATCGTCTTACACAAATGAAATGTAAAAGAAACAGCCCCTTCACATATTGTAATGAGATTCTCTGTCACATATTTGAAATTATATTGATTCTACAAATTAATACAAACAGTATGTGAGGAAGTGGAATTGAGTGTGTATAACTTGGATGGTATGTTATATATGTAGGAGTGGTGTGGAGTGTACTTACTTTGCGTGGGATTGTACAAGCGTAGGAGTGAACTTACCCTGTGTGGGATCATGTGTATGCTTGTGTTTACCTTGTGTGGTAGAGTACCTGCATATACCTATCTTGCCTTGGATCCTACATGTGTATGTGTGTACTTGCCTTGCATTGGATCATACAATCAGGGAGTGTACTTACCTTGCGTGGGATCGTACAAGCGGGAAGTGTACTTACCTTGTGTGGGATTGTACAAGCCGGGAGTGTACCTACCTTGCGTAGGATCGTACAAGCAGTGTACTTACCTTGCGTGGGATCGTACAAGTGAGGGATGTACTTACCTTGCGTGGGATCGTACAAGAGGGGAGAGTACTTACCTTGCGTGGGATCGTACAAGAGGGGAGAGTACTTACCTTGCGTGGGATCGTACATGCGGGAAGTGTACTTACCTTGTGTGGGATCGTACAAGTGGGGGATGTACTTACCTTGCGTGGGATCGTACAAGAGGGGAGAGTACTTACCTTGCGTGGGATCGTACATGCGGGAAGTGTACTTACCTTGTGTGGGATCGTACAAGTGAGGGATGTACTTACCTTGCGTGGGATCGTACAAGAGGGGAGAGTACTTACCTTGCGTGGGATCGTACAAGAGGGGAGAGTACTTACCTTGCGTGGGATCGTACAAGTGGGGAGTGTACTTACCTTGCGTGGGATCGTACAAGCGGGGAGCGTACTTACCTTGCGTGGGATCGTACAAGTGGGGAGTGTACCTACTTTGCGTGGGATCGTACATGCGGGGAGTGTACCTACTTTGCGTGGGATCGTACATGCGGGGAGTGTACCTACTTTGTGTTGGATCGTACAAGTGGGGAGTGTACTTACCTTGTGTGGGATCGTACAAGTGGGGAGTGTACTTACCTTGTGTGGGATCGTACAAGTGGGGAGTGTACTTACCTTGCGTGGGATCGTACATGCGGAGGAGCAGAGAACCGAGTGTGGACTTCCCCGACCCACTAGGACCAACTACAGCTGTCACAGACCCAGACGGGACATTCAGGCTCAGGTCGGAGAAGATGGTTGTCTCAGGACGGGATGGATAATGGAAATTGATATTGTTGAAGTTAATGTTGCCCTGGGGTGACATGGATGGTGACAGACCAGCTGAAACATAGATTGAAAATAACTTGTTAAAATTCACACTACTTCATACACTTCCTCTCTTATCATACGAAACTCATCCACTTACAAACTGATTCTTATTGTAACCCTGTTGGGATTCCGGCTTAGAATAGGTCCTCAGTGGAGTGAGTGAGTGAGGGATGGAAGGAGGGAGTGGAAAGGGAAGGAGTGAGAAGGGGAAGGAAGGGGAGGGATGAGGGAGAGAGAGAGAAGGGAGGAAGGAAGGAGTGGGGTGTGATGGAGGGAAGAAAGCAGGAGGTATGTAGGGAATGGGGAGTGAGTGATTGAGGGAGGGGGTAAGGGGCGGTGGGGTTTGAGGGTGGGAGGGGAGGAGGTAAAGTGGGAGTAAAGAGTGAGTGAGCGAGGGAGGGAGGAAGGAGGGAGAGGTGAGTGAGTTCATACCTGCCACAGGAATCCTGGGCTCTCTGTCCACCAGCTGCCAGAGCCGGGAACTTGCCCCCAGGCCACGCATCAACTCTGTGTAGAAAGTCGTCAACCCTGGAACATAAACCATAATTCACATGTATAAATAAAAAACAACAAAATAATAACACAGATTCATAAACCAACTGCAGATAGATGTACTTACAATCGATAACCATATGTAAACACATGTATTAATGAATCGAGACCATATATCATTTTTGAATTGTCATGTACTTAATCGTATGTTCAGGAAACAGGCCTATTTATTCCAGCCTGTACAAGTTCCGCAAGCTCACCTCCCATGGACACTCCCACGTAGGCTGCATACAGGAGGAAGGCCGACAGCTCCCCTACAGTCATCTGTGACTCGGTCATCATCAGTCCCCCGTAGTAGAAGACTGACAGCACGATGACATTACCTGACATCCCCGTCTGTGACAGAAACAGGGGGAGATAACTCATGCTTTAGACTGACAGACGATGACATTACATGACATCCCCGTCTGTGACAGAAACAGGGGGAGATAACTCATGCCTTAGACTGACAGACGATGACATTACATGACATCCCCGTCTGTGACAGAAACAGGGGGAGATAACTCATGCTTTAGACTGACAGACGATGACATTACATGACATCCCCGTCTGTGACAGAAACAGGGGGAGATAACTCATGCTTTAGACTGACAGACGATGACATTACCTGACATCCCCGTCTGTGACAGAAACAGGGGGAGATAACTAATGCTTTAGACTGACAGACGATGACATTACATGACATCCCCGTCTGTGACAGAAACAGGGGGAGATAACTCATGCTTTAGACTGACAGCACGATGACATTACATGACATCCCCGTCAGTGACAGAAACAGGGGGAGATAACTAATGCTTTAGACTGACAGACGATGACATTACATGACATCCCCGTCTGTGACAGAAACAGGGGGGAGATAACTCATGCTTTAGACTGACAGCACGATGACATTACATGACATCCCCGTCTGTGACAGAAACAGGGGGAGATAACTCATGCTTTAGACTGACAGACGAGGACATTACCTGACATCCCTGTCTGTGACAGAAACAGGGGAAGATAACTCATGCTTTAGACTGACAGCAGGATGACATTACCTGACATCCCTGTCTGTGACAGAAACAGGGGGAGATAACTCATGCTTTAGACTGCCAGCACGATGACATTACCTGACATCCCAGTCTGCGACAGAAACAGGGGGAGATAACTCATGCTTTAGACTGACAACATTACCTGACATCCCAGTTTTAGACAGAAACGGGGGGAGATAACTCATGCTTTAGACTGACAACATTACCTGACATCCCAGTTTTAGACAGAAACAAGGGAGATAACTCATGCCTTAGACCAGCGATTCGGAAACTGGTCTAGTATAGATATTTTAAAATAAGCCATATATTTTCGAAAAAGTACTTGCCGGACATTACAACCTCAAAACGGATTTCACAACAAACAATATAAAATAAAGGTGCAGCCAGAATGACATGTGTTTTTTTTGTTGATTAGTGTATACATGACTTGCCATTATGACCAAGCACTATCGGTCAACATAATATTATGCGCGGTAAAAAAATACATCGTATTCCTTGGCTTCAGGGAATTCAGGTGATATCAAATTTAAATTAGTCAATAAAAATGTGAATTTGGGAGAAAATATCAGTAGACATGATGCTTCACCATTTAAATTGTATTTCCTGTTCTGCTAGGCATTGTTTTATATGCAGAAATAAAGATTACTGTGTATATTTTCTCGTAAACTAAGCATAAAATAGCAATCACATGTACCCACATTTTCTACCAATCAACTGGTGGTTCGGTAAGAAAATACACAATAGTATAACTTGATAGAATTTTGAAGCAACGATGGAAGATTTGTATTTTAAACTCTTATTTCATCAGAAATTATATATTCCAATATCTTGTTATTTTAATCGCAGCTTTTACCATGTATATTTAAAATGATAATAACCCTAAGAGTAGTACTGTGGAACGGGACCCTGATAGCTGTAGCCGGATATATTTCATGTATGGAACTATTTGACCCATCACCGTTGAGACTTCCCATGAACTTGCAAAAACATAATGTTGATAATTGTCAAACTACAATAAATAAGACTTTTAATGAGTGAAAGTCAGCATTTATGATATATGTATACATTCTTTGTCAACTAAAGTTTATTTCAAGGTGTCGGGTTTAGTAATCTGACTGTGGCTGCTGTAAATAACGGTCACTTCACACACGATATCGCCGAAATTAATGTAAACAATATTGAACATGTTGAATGAAATCTTGAATAAATTTGAAATAGATTACAAAGTCCATATATACAAAAAACACTTTTTATAACAAGATAGTGTAATTACAGGATTAAATTGCGTAATTCAGAATGGATTTGTTGCCATGGTATTTCCGGTGTTACATGCTCACAGTAATGTCTTTAGTTTCTGTTGGGGAAAAAACATCAAAACTCATTGTGGTGTGTTTTTATGGAAAAATGTGTGCACTGTACTGAAGAAAATAGGGTATATGTTATGAAAGTGCCTTCTGATGTTATTCTTTTAATATTTTATTCATACACACTCTCAAATATGAGGTGGGCATTACAAAAACACAAATGTCCGATTGTCAAAAACAAGTTTCCAGATCCCTGGTTTAGACTGAATGCAAATGACATTACCTGACATAACAGTATAGGAGGAAAGGTTTGTGACAGGTTTATACTTTGTACCACCTAGTCCTCATCTTTATTGAACAAATGATGCATCACCAGTACTTACAAATCCCCAGAAGATTCCGCGAGCCAGTGCCTCCTTGTACGAGAGCTTCAGGACATGGCTGATCTTCTGGTCATATGCTGCACATTCCTTCTCCTCTTGCGCGAAGGCTCGCACTGTGCGGATATTGCCCACCTTCTCCTCAGCCAGCTGCAGTTAAAATACTATTGTAGTTTCTGAAGGATTAAACACATGACAATGAAACCCAGTATCTAGGACTAAACTCTCTACATGCCACTACCAGTATATAGAGTTGACTCCCCTCATCACCAGGGATGTGATTGGAGGAGAAATATCACTGCTGAAAACTTTAAGTTGTCTCCCCTCATCACCAGGGATGTCATTGGATGAGAACTATCGCAGCTGAAAACCTTAAGTTGTCTCCCCTCATCACCAAGGATGTGATTGGATGAGAACTATCGCAGCTGAAAACCTTAAGTTATCTCCCCTCATCACCAGGGATGTGATTGGATGAGAATTATCGCAGCTGAAAACCTTACGTTGTCTCCCCTCATCACCAAGGATTTTAATGGATGAGAAAGATTACAGCTACAATTGTATGTTCAATATATGACTGGCACCAAAAATGTGCTGCCTGAAAATTATTTTTGTCCACAGGTAGTAGCTCTATATTGTTAGACTACATTAAATGTTATTAGGAAAGTAGCACTCTACCTGAGTAGCATCAGCGAGGGAGGTCTGTACTTGCTTGGTGATGTTCCGCACATAGCGGCCATATATGATAGACACAAGGGCTACAGGCGGCACAATGCCCAGGGAGATGGCTGTAAGCTTGGCGGAGACATACACCTGTAGACGATGGCAACAAAGCAGTCAATGATTATTAGGACCCTGAAGGTAGGACAATATCATAGCCAGGTTTGAAATTATAGTGATCCTGGGTCTCAGAAAGGTTTGATATCATACAGCAGTTAAATGATATGACTGAAATCTTGAATTTTTAACATTAACAGGGCACTGCAGAAAACCTCAAGAACCCCAGCACCTTCCATAGTTCACATCAGATAAATCAAGGTTCAAGAATTCCAATGAAGCCTTCTATCTCAAACTCCATTATTCATTTGTCCGTCACTTGTCATATGCCACCTTCCACTACCTCATTCAAATAATTCACAATATGTAGACAACCTTCCACTCACTCACCCACACCACCACTCACCATCATCCCCTTCCAACTCACTAACACCCCTCCAACTTACCATCATCCCCAACTCACAATCATCCCCCTCAAATGCACCATCACCCCCCTCCAATTAACCATCACCCACCCACCCATCCCAAACTCACCATCCCCCACCCCACAACTCACCATCCCCCACCCCACAACTCACCATCATCCCCACCCCGCCTACAGCCTGCGCTATCGACCTCAGTCCATCTGATATGTTGTTTGTCACTGACTGTCCCACAAGTGACGCATCGGCTGACAAACGATTTATCAACTCTCCTGTTTTAGTTTTGTCAAAGAATCCAATTTCTTGCTTCATAACCGAATTAAATAATTTTTCTCGAAGTCTCTTCACAATGTTTTGACCTGCGACTGTCATCAGATACACCCGTCCGAAGTTTGCGACTCCTCCGAGGAGAAACACCACAAGTAGTATCTGGCAAAGTGAGTTGAGTTTCTCCTCCATCTTCCCCTCCTGCGATGCAGTGTAGATGATGTCGATCACCTTCCCGATACAGAACGGCACCGCCATGGTCACTCCACTCGACACCACCAGCAGCCCTAGTGCCCCTGTAGACAGACATATCCATTAGCCAGGTCTGTAAATAATAGTGTCTGGGCTAGACATTCCAGTGATTGACACCATGAGCATCAATCCATGCAATTGGGATACAATGACATGCATCAACCAAGTCAGCGAGCCTGACCAACCCATCCCATTAGTTGCCTCTTATGACAAGCAGTTGCTTTTTACGGCAAGCATGGGTTGTTGAATGACCTATTCTACCCTGGATCTTCACGGGTAGCAAAATTAGAGAGAAATCACATAGCACTCGTAATATTAAATCGAAGAAATCTTTCCGTAATGAGCTGATTCTCCTGATTACTCACACATAATCACCATGTCAACAAGTGCTTGCTGCACGGGTATTCCAAGAATGTCCATAAGGCTATGTGAGGTACACAGTGTTCATGAGAATGTTTTGTTTTGTTTATTTTTTGTTAAACGCCGCACTTAGCAATATTCCAGCCATATGATGGCAGTCTGTAAATAATTGATATCAATATTGATATCATGAGCATAGATCCACGTGGGATACGATAACATGCATCAACCAAGTCAGTGAGCCTGAGCACCCGTTAGTCGCCTCATATGACAAGCATGGGTTGCTGAAGACCTATTCTACCCCAGATCTTCACATGTCTCCTGAGAATGTGAATACAGATGATCTGTGAAGCACCTTCCAGTGGATTAATACAGCTTGGTGGTTGTGTTGTGGACATTGTGATCCAAACAGCACTACCTGTACTAGGAGTACTTCTACACACCCACAAACAAACACAACATCATTGACTACAGCAAAGTTGTTATTTTATGGACGTGTTTGCTCTTCCCAGCATTCCAAGTGTGATGTACCATGCTTATATTCGTATATTGCTTGTCTGAGTCCACAAGCAGGTGGATTGTCCTTTATACAACCTGAATCAAACCAGAAACAAACAAGTCTTTTTTGTGTTCATGCCCATAGGGGAATTCGTAATCTCATTCTGCATACCACGTAAATATATGTAATCTCATTCTGCATACCACATAAATATATATTATCTCATTCTGCATACTGCATAAATATACGTTATCTCATTCTGCATGCCGTTTATTTGCTGCATATACAATTTTATAATGATACATGCAGAAATTGCTGGGGTAATGGGCAAAAATTATACTTTCAATATGGCCGAAATGTTTTCAAATCGACAGGAATTCTGTGAATACTGTTTATACAAGCCAGAGCTACCATTCATACAAAGTTTCAATTTCATAAGCCTTGTTGCCAGAGGAATTTTGAAAATGTAAAACTTAATGACATTCAGACAACATGAGCGCACTTGACTTTCAGTCACCTTTTGCTTTTTTCAATCAGAAAAAAACACACCACATTTTACCAATAGAAAAAACAGCAAGCTCAAACTTATTGAAATCATCTGAAAACAGCAGACATGGTGAGGTGAGGTGAAATGGGGTTTAACATCACGTCCAAGATTATTGCACTTATATAGCGACCTGCATGCACGTGTACATGTGTGTGTGTGTGGCTGCTTGTACTAGTCCGGACTGATGCCGATTTATAGTGCTAGCACACTGACATACTATGCCGCAGTTTAACATAAATACCCCACTCAGACACAGTATACTGACTCCGAGCCGACCAGTCCTTGTTTTAGCCCCTTAATGCCGAGCGCCAGACAGGGTAACAACAAGTACCATCTTTTAACGTCCTTTGGTATGACGCGGCTGGGGATCGAACCCCAGACCTTCCGCTCTCCGGGCGGACACTCTACCACTAGACCATGTAGGTGGTCACAGCAGACATGAGAATTAGGAGATAAACATACTGTGTTTTCAATGTAGAGCTATGTTACCTGGAGATTTAACTGTGCAAAATTGAATTTGGAATCGTTATTTGTACATATAATTACTTAAATATGCCTACTGACAATGACTGAAAAAAGTACTATTCCATGATTATTAGCTTCTGCGGTGATGCAGCCGTCAAACCAGCTGTTTCAATCAGCGGGGGTTTATTGTGATTTAATAGTCTCTGATTGACCATTCAGAATTGAGTAATTCCAAATTCATGGTAGAATCAATATCATTAGCAGTAAGTTTATATCATAAGAATATATGCTAAGAATATTGACTTTTCAACTGGATTACAGTGCCCCCTTGTGAGGCAGAGTTAATTACTGACAGGCTTAAGTGTTGCATATCCATTTGAGTAGAAATCTGAGGCTTATGCACAGTATAAGCTTGTGAAGCACGCAGTCTGATTGAAAATTCAAACAGAAGTTCTGCCAGATAACTTGGTCCTGGCACCCACCCAATACAGTGAACATGGAAGCTTATCAACAACACAATATCTTCAACTTGTAACAAGCTCTGACATAACAATAGTTGTCAACTGTGGCCTACTCTAAAGATGTCACGTATAATAACAAGAGTTTGCCACTAACGTGGCTATATCCCCGCCCCTGTTGCAGAATTTATGCCATAATTAAATCTAAACAAACTCTAACCTTTTTTAACCGAGGTGGAACTTGTTATGGAAATTGTAAAAAAAAAAAGAGTTTGGAACCTAAGTCCAACTTGCTGCCATGGAAACGTAAAAAAATAAACATTTCTAAAATTTCTAAATAGCAAAAGGCACCAGTTCAGCATGTACCTGACAAACCTGTAAAGTTTCAAGAAAAAATATTGAACGGTTTATGAGTTATGCTCCGGAAACGAACCCTACCCTCACAGAACCTAAGTCCATCTTGTTGCCATGGAAACGTAAAAAATAAAAATTTATAACATTTCTAAATAGCCAAAGGCACCAGTTCAGCATGTACTTGACAGACCTGCAAAGTTTCATGTAAAAATATTGAACGGTTTCTGAGCTTTGCTCCGGAAACGAAACGAAACGAAACAGAGCCCGTTTCTATATCCCCCATCAACTTTGTTGGGCGGGGGATAAATAGGTGATGTACATGTTACACCCAATCTGTGCAACTGCACACTTCGTGCATTGGGCAGGCTGTTTGCCCAGTGGGTGCAATGGATGTGTATGAGTTTTAAAATCTTATTCACAGAAGTCTAAAGGACACACTTATTTCATAAGGATCTATTCACCAAGTTATTTTACAAAGATCTGTTCACTGAATTGTTTTCAAACACAGATGCATCAACATTAAATCATAAATTACTATTTATATGGTTTCTGAACTACTATAAAACACAAATAAAATACGGCTCAAAAATAATATGTCTGACCAAATGTAGACTTTAATGTGTAAAAGTGTGAGAGCACAGAGTGTTTGTGGCAGACAGGGTTACCGCAGGTGCCAATGCAGAGGCAACCGCTTGATAAACAGGTGCTTCTGTTTGAAATCAGGGTTGAGTGCATGCTATAGCCACAACACCTGTGCAAACTGTGACTGAACTAAGCGGTGATGTGATTCAGAGACTCTTTATATGCAGATAACACTGCTTGATATGTGTTTTTATTTAAAAAATAAAGTTTCTTAAGATATTTGTTTGTTTGTTATTTATTACAGTTTATTTACTTAATAATTAGAGTTTACTTTATTAAAAACAAAACAAGTAAAACAATACCAATTTCAAATGCGTGCGTTGAGCAGAACAATTACCTGTACTTTGTGTGAAATGAGCAAGCAGGTAGCCCATATTGTGAAATATTTGGAGAACTACTTTTCATTCACGACTATTGCCCATTGCACGCCTTGGGCAGGTGCACAACTTGGGTGTAACCTATGCATCCAGACATATATAACTGGAGCTGTATTTGTTCAGAAATTTAAACAAACCAGCATATCTCATAAATAATGTACTGCCACATGACTTGTGTCACTGTGCGTGAAGGTTGGAGGTTAAATACACGGCCAAAACCATCCTAGTAACTATGGATGCATGCTGTCATATGTTAGTGAACAGGGTACACAGAGTATGCCCTTGTGTTGCCAGGTTCATACTTTCATGAAGGGAGAAACCATTTGATTTTCCGGGGGGTTGGGGGTAGGGGGGGGGGTGGGTTGGGTTTGGTTTGACATTAAAAAAATAACATATTTAGGAGCTCAATAATTTTTTCCAACATAAACAGGTGCTCAATTATCATATTTTTTAATAGATAAAAATAATAAAGTATATTTTTTTAACACTCTAATGTACATGAAATAGTTCCCTGTACTCTTGATATTTCAACACACACCGTCTGCAAGAAAAGTGCACACCATTTTTGTCCTACAAAGCGAGGTTTATGTAAAAGAATTCAGTGAAACAGTGGCTTGAGGCATAGGGTTTTTTTTTAACCCTCCCTCCCTCAAATCAATCAGTTGCTTCATTATTTGTATTTTTTAGACTCTTTGTTTAAGCACAGGAATCTGAAGTTCTGATTAAATCAACGAAATTTGATGTCTTTTTAATGGTCAAACACCGCCTCCTTCTAGATCATGTATATGGAGAAATTGCATGCCTTCTTAATGATCAAACACACCCACTCCCTCCACAAGTTCATGTATATATATAGAAATTGTATGCCTTCTTAATGATCAAACACACCCACCCCCTCCATAAGTTCATATATATATAGAAATTGTATGCCTTCTTAATGATCAAACACACCCACTCCCTCCATAAGTTCATGTATATATAAAGAAATGGTATGCCTTCTTAATGATCAAACACACCCACTCCCTCCATAAGTTCATGTATATATAAAGAAATGGTATGCCTTCTTAATGATCAAACACACCCACTCCCTCCATAAGTTCATATATATATAGAAATTGTATGCCTTCTTAATGATCAAACACACCCACCCCCTCCACAAGTTCATATATCTATAGAAATTGTATGCCTTCTTAATGATCAAACACACCCACTCCCTCCACAAGTTCATGTATATATAGAAATTGTATGCCTTCTTAATGATCAAACACACCCACCCCCTCCATACGTTCATGTATATATAGAAATTGCATGCCTTCTTAATGATCAAACACACCCACCCCCT